TATTAACTGCCATATATCAAAGAAAATATGATATTTGTCTTTTTAAGACTGGCTTATTTCATTTAGCATAATGGTATCCAGTTGCATCTATTTTGTTGAAAAAGACAGGATTTCATTCTTTTTTATGGCCAAGTGTGTGTATATACCATATTGTGTATATACCATGTTTTCTTTATCCAGGCATCAGTTGATGGACATCTGTGTTGATTCTGTATGTTAGCTATTGTGAATTCAGCTGCAATAAAGGTAGGGGTACAGATAACTCTTTCATATGGTGACATCACTTTGTTTGGGTAAATACCAAATTGGAATAGCTGGGTCATTTGTAGATCAATTTTCAGATTTCTGAGGCATCTCCATGTCTTCCATTTTGAAATAGCTGACTAGGGTCCAGTGCTGTGGTATAGTGGGTAAAGCCGTTGCCTGCAGTGCCAGCATCCCATGTGGTCGCTGGTTCGAATCCCAGCTGCTCCACTTCCTATCCAGCTCTCTGCTATGGCCTGGGAAAGCAGTAGAAGATGATCCAAGTCCTTGGGCCCCTACACCTATATGGGAGACCTGGAAGAAGCTCCTGGCTCCTGGCTTCAGATCGGCACAGCTCTGGCTGTTGTGGCCAATTGGGGAGTGAACCAGAGGATCAAAAACCTCTCTCTCCCTCTCTCTCTGCCTCTCCTTCTCGCTCTGTGTAACTCTGACTTTCAAATAAAAATAAATAAATCTTAAAAACAGCTGACTAGTAAAAAATACTGAAATTCCATTTGCTTTTAGTATGAGAGCAGGTGCCTTTTGTTGTATAGATTGAGAACTTCTGTGACTTATGGAGCCTCATTAGTGATGAGCACCTGTTAGACTTGCATGTTTGTTGTGATACCGTTCCACAGTGTTTCCTAACAACATCAATCCGTTAATGGCAGTTTTCTGATAGATTGAACTAAAGGGACAAGGAAAGGGGTGTCTTTTTCATTTGTGTAAAACTGTAGCCATATTAAGGATAAGGCCCTTGGTTTAGACCAACCTGGGTTTGGATCTTGTGGTAGCCATTTATAGATATGTGGCATTACATGGTCTCTTCTTAATTTGTCTACAAAATTGGATTAATCGTACTCATTACATTATAATGTAATGTATAGGACCTGGATGAGATAATGTATATGATATGTTTGCTACAGTGTCTGGCACCTTCCAAGTGCCCAGTGAATAATACGAAGCATCATGCTTACTTTCGTTGGAGCTGGTTACACTTTAGCAGCATGTGATTACAGACATGTTTCAAATGACTTGTAATTAGGGGAAAGATTTAATTGAAAGACCAGCTTACCATCTTTTTTTTAAACTTTTATTTAATGAATATAAATTTCCAAAGTACAGCTTATGGATTACAATGGCTTCCCCCCCATAACGTCCCTCCCACCTGCAACCCTCCCCTTTCCCACTCCCTCTCCCCTTCCATTCACATCAAGATTCATTTTCGATTCTCTTTATATACAGAAGATCAGTTTAGCATACATTAAGTAAAGATTTCAACAGTTTGCTCCCACACAGAAACATAAAGTGAAATATACTGTTTGAGTACTAGTTATAGCATTAAATCTCAGTGTACAGCACACTAAGGACAAAGATCCTACATGAGGAGTAAGTGCACAGTGACTCCTGTTGTTGACTTAACAAATTGACACTCTTGTTTATGGCATCAGTAATCACCCTAGGCTCTTGTCATGAGCTGCCAAGGCTATGGAAGCCCCCTGAGTTCACTGACTCTGATCATATTCAGACAAGGCCATGGTCAAAGTGGAAGTTCTCTCCTCCCTTCAGAGAAAGGTACCTCCTTCTTTGAAGACCTGTTCTTTCCACTGGGATCTCACTCGCGGAGATCTTTCATTTAGGTGTTTTTTTTTTTTTTTTTTTTTTTTTTTTCCCCTAGAGTGTCTTGGCTTTCCATGCCTGAAATACTCTCATGGGCATTTCAGCCGGATCCGCATGCCTTAAGGGCTGATTCTGAGGCCAGAGTGCTGTTTAGGACATCTGCCATTCTATGGGTCTGCTGTGTATCTCACTTAACATATTGCATCATTCTCTCCCTTTTTGATTCTATCAGCTAGTATTTGCAGACACTATTCTTGTTTATGTGATCCCTTTGGTTCTTAGTCCTATCATTAAGATTAATTGTGAACAGAAATTGATCACTGGGACTAGTGAGATGGCATTGGTACATGCCACCTTGATGGGATTGAATTGGAATCCCCTGGTATGTTTCTAACTCTACCGTTTGAGGTAAGTCAGCTTGAGCATGTCCCGAATTGCACATCTCTTCCCACTCTTATTCCCACTCTTATATTTAACAATGATCACCATCATTTTTTTTTTAACTGATTGCTTTTAAGTTAAGGATTGCTGTGTTTTCTTCACACTTCCCTCTTCTGAGGTTAGCAGTGAACCCCTAGCATAGATTTGGTCAGATAATTTAGAGGAAGTGAGAACAAATATTTGAATCTGTGACTTTTGAAGGGATTTTGATGATGTTCTAGGTAGTATGATCTTTGTGTGGATTAAGTCATAGACTCAGTTCATAGGTTGCTGTGCATCAACTAACAGTGGGGAATCAGGAATGGAAAAGAACCAAGATGAATTCATTGTCCAGTTTTTTTTTTTTTTTTTAAGATTTATTTATTTGAAAGGCAGAGCAACTGAGAGAGAAGGAGAGACAGAGAAAAGAGGTCTTTCACCTGCTGATTCACTCCCCAAATGGCCACAACACCTAGGGTCGGGCCAGACCCGAAGCCAGGAGTCAGGAACTCCATCCAGGTCTCATGTGGGTGGCAGGTTCAACAACTTGGGCCGTTTTCCGCTGCCTTCCTGGTTGCTTTAGCAGGAAGTTAGATCAGAATTGGAGCAGCTACGACTTAAACCAGCCCTCTGATACAGGATGCTGACATTGCAAGCAGCAGCTTAACCTGCTGCTCCATAACACCGGCCCCCATTGCTCACTTTTGAGTGGAAAATGATTAATAAAACTGGACCATGATTGTGATTTATTAGCAGTTTCCATTCATTTTTGACTTTTAAAACCCTGGATTGAGTGAGAGTGGGGTTTGCAGGGTGATTGTAGCAAGCTTGGTATGGGCAGTTTTTGTACCATAGGGATTTTTCATTTCATGGAAAAAAAGAAGTGTCCAACTAATGGCATCCTGATCTGGAGTGCAGGTATAGCAGAAAATATTTCTGCTACTTTTCCTTTCAAGTGATGAAAATGAAACAGATCACCAAATTTCTGACAGTTAAATTAAAAATTCCAGATTGTTGAGAAGAGTGAAAACAGAGAGCCAAGTTAACAGATGCAGGATCCTAGTATCAAAATCATTTAGTTGAGCTGTATTGAAGTAGTCCGGGTTGTTTGAACATTGCCTAGGTATTTGATGGTCCCAAAATTAGGTAATTATCCTATTGTAAATCCAAGCAGAATTGCATATTTCAGGATTTACTACTTAAGATATAATAATCTTCATTTTGAAATTATATGAAAGTTATATAAAATATGACATCTGTTTCTTATTTTCTCTGAGAGCAAAAGAACAACTTTAAATATATGTAAGCTGTTAGACCCTTCAGAGTTTTTCCACTGAACATTTTGAAGCTTTGGAATGGTTACGCCCTTTCCTGAAACTCTTCCCTAAAAGGAAAAGGTAGCATAGAGATAGCATAGATGTGGGCCTATATATAGTTAGAGTAATTATTTATGTTGCCTCTAACTTTATTCCACAAATGCTAAAATTACTTACGTACCAATGAGTAAAGCCAGAACTTTTAGAATTTGTCACATGTAGAACATATGTTATACATGAAACCCTGATTTCAGGAGGAAGAAGACAACAGAAGAAAGCAACATTTTACAAGATAACAGGGGTGGTACTATTGATAGTTAATTTGTGTCTTATTTCCAAATGAATGGTTCAAAAAAAGCCACTAAGGGCTATGGTAGTTCAGAAGGTATCCCAGAGGAGGGATTTCTGAGGGATACATCATAGTGAGATTGAAGGAAGTTGAAGTGACAGCCTGGGCAGAAAACCAGATGTGGGCTAAGGAAAATGTTTTTGAACTGTAGTGTTTAGTATTTGTTCTGTCCCATTGTTATGGTTTTCTCCTTCAGGATCTGGGACTCAATTCTCCCACGTGGATGGCACAGACCCCACTACTTGAGCCATAATCTGTGCATTATCAAGAAGCTGGTGTTGGAATTGGAGCCAAGGGTGGGACACGGGCACTCTGGTCCGATATGGGATGGTTTTCCCAACTGGTTGTTTAACCTCTGTACCAAATGCCCATTCCCTGTATTTATTTTAATGTCATCTTTTCCTGAATTTGAGAGGTAGCTTGTATACCTTATTGTTGCTGTTTTTTCCCTTGCTGTTTGCAAAAACATGGCCACTTGTTTATATGTAGATAGTCCCTGGCTCTGCTCAGTCACACTGCTCCAACGGGACCTTTTCTTTATTTCTGTTGTCCATGTATTCCTGAGTGGATTCTACTCCCAACACTTTCTCCTCAGCATGGGACCCTGACCAGTTTAGAGTATCCCAAGCTGCCCCTAGCCTGTCTTGTCTTCTTAGGATGGTACTGTCACCTGGTGCAGGTGCGGTTCTCAGGCTGAGGTCTGCTCTGCTTCCCTGTGAGCCCTGGATGGCTAGGATCTCAGGGCCAGCTTTCCCCCCTGGCTTCCCTCAGCTTCCTTCTTTGCAGATCCTGTTATTGTGCGAGACTTCACAGGGTTGATAGTTTGTACTCACCTGCTTGATTTTGGAGTTTGTTGACTACTTGCAGGTGCTGTCTACATGCTTTTGGTTTTGTTGATCCAGGTGCTCTATCTTTATGTGAAGATTCAGAGAGTTACAAAAATGGTGCCCTTGCTGCTGTTACTGGATTTCCAAATTGTCTGCTGTCATTTTCATGGCTATTTAATGAAATTGACTTAGTTTTTTTTTTCTTCCTCTTAAAAATCACCTCAGAGAAAGAAGAATCGGGGTATAGAGTATCCATCCTTCCCAGGAGACGGGCTACTGCAGTGCAGAGGAGCGGGAATCAGGACTGGAGGAGCAGCTGTCTCCCTCTTGGAATCATGGCGCAGGTGTGGAGAAGGATTTCAGGATACTTCTGGAACTCCGGTAAAGTAGCTATTGAAATAATATCCCTGAAATACTGAAAAAGAAATCCTGGATTCCTGTACATTTAGGCCATTGCAATTACATTTCTTTGGAATTCCCTTCTTTATTTTCTTTCAGTGACACTGTAATTGATGCATAATTCCCTCCCCTCATTCCTTGAGTTCCTTTAACAATTGTGGCAGGTCAGTATTACTGCTTTATGTCATGCAGAACCTTTCTGCTTATTTGTAACTGAGATTACATTCTGAGAATTTTCTCAGAAGTTGAAGCCATTTTGTGCATGCTAGTTTTCACAAGAACTATGTTGATAAAATGACCAAAATATTGTGGGTTTTTTTTTTCCCCAAATTTATTTATTTATTTGGAAGGCAGAGTTACAGGGATGCAGAGGCAGAAAGGGAGAGTGAGAGTTCTGTCATCCATTGGTACACTCCCCAAATGGCTGGAGCTGGGCCGTTCCAAAGCTAGGAGCCTGGAGCTTCTTCCAGGTCTTCCATGAGGGTGAGAGGGCCCAAGGACTTGAGCCATCCTCTATTCCTCTCCTAGGCACATTAACAGAGAGCAAATTTTAAAGTGGAGCAGCCAGGACTTGAACCCACACCCATATATGATGCCAACACTGTAGGCGGTGGCTCTTAGCTGCTACACCATAGTGCTGGACCTGGAATATTCTTCATTTTCTTTGTAAATTTATTCAAGGTATACAAACTTCATGCATTTCACATATAGAAATTTAGGAACATAGTGATTCTTCCCACCCTACCCTCCCTCCTGCTTGTACTCCTATCATTCTTCCTCCTTTCTCTCATATTCCCACTCTTTAATTTTTACAAAGAAATCTGTTTTCAGTTTCTTTCATATTCATAAAATTAACCCTACAGTAAGTAAAGTGTTCAACAAATATTATAAGGGGCAAAAAAAAAAAAAAAGCAAAAAACCTGTTTCTCAGCAGTAGAAAGGCCTGTAAACTAGGATAGTCACAATATTTTTAGTAGTGATCTACTGTTAATTTTTGTCTATGTGGCAATGTACAGTCCTCATAGAGAATTGCTATCATAAACTCTCAAGATAATTTGGGTATAGTAAGTAAGACCTTCTAGGTAGTCAGTGTTGTATAAATGAAGTTACTAGCATTGAATATTAACGTGAAATGTTTCTATCAGTCTACTCTGTTTAGATTCTTGAAAATATAAAAATTTTATAAGTATATAAGGAGTATGTACCTTAATAATCCTTAAATTGGTGCATATAAGTATAGGAAAACAAGAATGTGTTAAAGGAGTGTGTAATTTAAGATTTGGATTATTATAAAAATCAGATTTTTTTTCTCTTGTCATGTAAATTCCATCATTATTCTTATTTTGCCTGCAGTCATTGTTGACAGCTGAAAAGAAGACCATTACAGAAAACTATCCTGAATTATCCCCTAGACCCAAGGAAGGTAATATCACTTTGATGATTTCTTGACACAGAAAGTATAGACTAATATAGCTATTTATGATTGGTTTTCCTTTCTTTTAAAAATTACTAACAAGGTTTGGATAGACTATGTTTTCATGGTTAAAATAATTACAACAGTGTAAAAGGATATTTTTGAGACCTCTTACCTCTGTCTTTGTCACCATATGCCCCATTTTTTCTGTCCTTATGGATAAAAGCTTTTTCGGTGTGTCCTTCACTTTTATCCCAGAGCCCAGACTCATTACCCCAGGGTTTAAAAGGAGATATGGCTTGGGAAATGTAAGCTTATGAACTGTGTTACATAAGAACCATACTGATTCAGGTTATGAAGTTTTTGGTGAATTCATTAGGGAAGGCTTTCCAGCTACAAAGGGTAGGAAACTCTTGCTTCCCCCTAGTGTCTGAATAAATGAGGTTGAATGTATCTCCTGCAAGAAGACTGGCAGAAGGCAGTCTTTTTTCCACGTTGTACAGTCATAATGTGTGCTTGGTCTTCATGGCTGTCAGGTGATAGCTAAATTCTCCAGGCTGAATCCATGATGGGAGTGTAGATGCTGAAGATTTTATCCAAGTGAGCATTGTGCTTCCTTTGGAAAAGAATGCCTCTCGAACCTTTTACATGGGGTCACTTCCAGTAAAGACAGGGAGTGAAATTAGAAATTTTTTATAGAGGTATGTTGTTATCCAGATGAAATTGGTATTTATTAATAATAAAGAAGAGAGAGGGTGGATATCAGGTAGGCTGCTAGATCTGCTGCTGTGGGCAAGTAAGAACAGTGGGAACTTGAACTTCAGAGGTCTTGGTGTGTCCTGAATATAATCTTGGGAAAACAAACTAAATACCCTGAGCTTCAATTTTTGTGACACAGAAATGGGTGTAGTTGTGTGTGCCTCATTGTGTTATTATAGTAAGTGAGTTCAAAAGAAAAATATAAAATACCTTGTTCAAACGTGTATACTTGAGTACTAAATTGATGGCAGCAGTTTTAAGTCTGATGGTATTGAGAGCTAAATGAGAGCCTGCCAATTTATTTTTTTCTTGTAATTTTGCCTTAATTCAAAGAATCCTGGTGAGATTATCCTTAAAACTTTATGCAAGAAGTTTTTTTTTTTTTAAGATTTTATTTATTTATTTGAGATGTAGAGTTACAGACAGTGAGAGGAAAGACAGAGAGAAAGGTCTTCCTTCCATTGGTTCACTCCCCAAATGTCCACAATGGCTGGAGCTGCGCTGATCCAAAGCCAGGAGTCAGGTGCTTCTTCCTGATCTCCCTTGTGGTGCAGGGGCCCAAACACTTGGGCCATCTTCTACTGCTTTCCCAGGCTATAGCAGAGAGCTGGATTAGAAGAGGAGCAGCTGGGACTTGAACCGGTGCCCATATGGGATGCCAGTGTCACAGGTGGAAGATTAACCCACCGCACCATGGCACTGGCCCCTAGGCAAGAAGATTTGACATATGACATTGATTTCAGTATTGCCAGAGTTTTGTACATTGTTGATTTGGGCAAGTAACATTTTAAAATCTCCATTTGATAAATAACCATAGTCGTTGACACACACATGTATTTTCTTTATTAGAAACTGCCACACCTAAGAGTACCAGTGGGCTTACTGACATAACTTGGAGTTCCAGTGGGAGTGACCTGTCAAATGAAGGTAAGACATTTTCTAAATCACAGTATGATAGTAGATACGGCCCTAGAATATATAAGCTTTGTAATAGGAATATTTTATGTCCAGACAATAGGACCGGTAAATGGTAAATGGCAAACTGCAAGAAATTCAGTTTTTGTCAAACATTGGATTCATTATTGGCTGCAGCTTGCATTCCTTTCTAATATTTGTTGTTGGTTATAATTTTTTCTGAGTTCTAACCTCTATGCCAAGCCTTTAGAAACGTTTTCTTATTTAGTATTTCCTAGAGTAACTCTACCGAGATAGGAGTAACAATGTAAGTTTGGATCTTTAAACTTTGTTGGGATTCTGTTTTGGATCCCTTTGACTTCAAAGCTTGTTCTCTGAACTCCTACAGAATGCTACACCCACACTACCACCTGGCTAACTTGTGGTTATTGGGTCAATATTATAACAATGAATGTGTGATTGAAGTGTAACTTTTACCAGTTTTGTTTGCTATTAGTATTTTGTGTTGTATCTTGATTTAGACAGTTGAAAATAGGGTTTCTCAGTCTTGGCACTGTTATCACTTGGGTCCAGATGCCTCTGTCGTGAGGAGGAGGACATTCCTGTGTGTTGCAGAACGTTTTGCACCTTCTCTGATCTCTATCCAGTAGATTACAGTGATGCCACTGGTCCCCGTTGACACAACCAAAGAGGTCTTCTGAGGTTAGGCATCCCCTGAAGGACACACCCCAGTTGATAGACACAGACTAGAATTATAGAAATCATGTAGTTTTTTTTTTTTTTAAAGAAACCTTTTATTTAATGAATACAAATTTCGTAAGTCCAACTTTAGGAATATAGTGGCTCTTCCCCCATACCCTCCCTCCCACCCCTACTCACATCTCACCACCTCCTCCCTCTCCTATACCATTCGTGAAGATTCATTTTAATTAACTTTATATACAGAAGACCAATTGTATATTAAGTAACGATTTCAACAATTTGCTCCACACACGCAAAGCTGTGATGGTGCTTGTGTTCCTTTGGCTTCTTGCTATGAGCATTCAGCAACCAAGAGAATTTCTCTTGCATTCCCCTGCATGCCTCCATGACTAAACACCATGTTGGATATAGGAAGTAATTGCTATTGTGCATCTGCTTTTCTCGGGGGTGGTCTGAACTTCAGGTTTTATAATCAGTATAGTGGGCTTGGACTGCGTCTTCTGGAATGACAGTACCAGATTAAAGAAGACTTTTTGTCTTATCTCATTTTAACTTTACTCTCTTCCTTTTTGTTAAGATTTATTTATTTATTTGAAAGTCAGAATTAAAGAGCAGAAAAGAGGCCGGTGCCACGGCTCACTAGACTAATCCTCCGAGTACTCCGGGTTCTAGTCCCAGTTGGGGCACCGGTTCCATCTCGGTTGCTCCTCTTCCAGTCCAGTTCTCTGCTGTGGCCCGGGAAGGCAGTAGAGGATGACCCACTTGGGCCCTGCACCTGCTGGGAGACCAGGAGGAAGCACTTTGCTCCTGGCTTCGGATTGGCGCAGCGTGCCGGCCGTAGTGACCATTTGGGGGGTGAACCAACAGAAGGAAGACCTTGCTCTCTGTCTCTCACTCTCTCTAACTCTGCCTGTCAAAAAAAAAAAAAAAAAAAAAGAGCAGAAAAGAGAGGGAAATCTTCCATCTGCTGGTTCACTCCCCAAGACGGTAGCAATGGCGAGGAGTGAGCCAGGGTGAAGCCAGGAGCCGGGGCTTCAACTGGATCTCCCACATGGGTGTCAGGGGCCAAAACACTTGGGTCATTTTCTGTTGCTTTTCCCAAATGTATTAGCAGGGAACTGGATCAGAAGTGGAGCAGCCGGGTCATGAACGAAGGCAAGATGGGATGCTGGCATTGCAGGTGGTAGCTTTACCCATTACGCCACAACTCCAGCCCCTTAAATTTTTTTTAAGTTTTAGATTTACTTCAGGTATTAAAGCTAATATGTTATTTTTAACATTACTTCATTGCACTTCATAGGAATTTTTTTGCTATCAGACCTCCGAAGTAAGACCATGTTATTTTATGAGATTTCTGTGTCGTTGCAGTAGCTCTTAGGGAGCACTTAGATGGTGGTGTGCAGAAAATGTTTATGTGATATGCTAGACCTCAGAGACTAATCTGTCTTTAATAATGATATTTGTTTCTCTAAGCAGACTGCATTAGAATCAAGACATTTGGCTTTTTAACATGAACATAATTTTAATTTGCCACCTTAAAAGTTTGCAAAAGTAGCATCCAGTTAATAATGATTTGATGTGATTTAAAAACTGAATTTACTTTCATGGTTTCCTTACTTTAATGTAAGAAATTTAATAGAAGAAATTAATGTATAGAAAAATTTGAATCGAAAATAATGTTTGAAATTTTTTTAAATTTTTTTAAATTTTATTTGACAAATAGTTAGACAGTTAGAGAGAGACAGAAAGGTCTTCCTTCTGTTGGTTCAGCCCCAAATGGCCACTATTGCCAGCGCTGCGCCAATCCGAAGCCAGGAGCCAGGTGCTTCCTCCCAGTCTCCCATATGGGTGCAGAGGCCCAAGCACTCTGGCCTTCCTCCACTGTCTTCCTGGGCCACAGCAGAGAGCTGGACTGGAAGAGGAGCAGCTGGGACTAGAACCCAGCGCCAATATGGGATGCCAGTGTAGTAGGTGAAGATTAACCAAGTGAGCCACGGCGCCAACCCAAGTTTTTTTGTTTTTGTACTAGAGAACTGGCTAAGTAAACACGGGTTCATTGACACAGTGGAATTCTATATTGTAGAAGGGAATAAGGATATTCCCTGCTTACTAATAAGGAAAAACGTCTTAATTATGTGAAGTGAAAAAGATTATGGTTTGTAAGAGAGGTGGAAAAATAAAACATGCACAATTACTTATATTTAGCTGGAACAGGCAATGGAAACTCTGCAAGCATATAAAACAGGTGGTAAATGTAGTTAACTTAGATTGGAGTGGGGTTAAGAGATGCGAGAAACAAAGTGACTAGAAATAAGGCTAGGAATATATTTTCACTGACTTAATGTATATTTAAAATTTATTCAGAAATGGGGATATAGTAACTACTGAGAATAAAAATAGATTTAAAAAATTTAAAAATTTGAAATTAAGCAAGTTACAACTTATATTTTTTAGATGAATTGCAGTTCATTGACTGGGAGCTCGACAGTGACAGGGAAGGTGCTGGTGAATGTAACGAACTTGAAGATGGCGAGGGTACCATGGATATCTCAGACTGTGCTTCCTGTTCAAGTAGCCAGTCTTTGACGAGTGATGACAGGCTCTCTGAGTTTGCTAAGGTAAGAATGGATCGTTTCAGAAACTCCTATTCTTTTATAACATATGTTCATCAAGGCCTTTTGGTGTTTCTCCCACCGTTCCTTCTCAGGGATCATCCTTTTCACTCTCAGAGCTTTCTTTTGAGCTCCACACCTTGGTCCTTAACTCACATGCTGGTGCTGTGCTTCTCAACATGGGGAAATATGGAGCTCTCTCCCCCCTAACTCTCCACTGCCAACTAGGTAATGAACTTTGGCTGTCCCTCCAGGGCCCTAGTACAGATAGGTCAGGGTTTGGTTAGTTGAGTGTGCAGCATTTACATCATTGTAACTCAATAAGGAATCTTGATCATCAAGACCAGTGCTAATTATCATGATGATCTTGAACAACTATTTGTGTTGCTAGGATCTATTTTAGTTCTATTGACAGGCAGAGTGGACAGTGAGAGAGAGAGACAGAGAGAGAAAGGTCTTCCTTTGCCGTTGGTTCACCCTCCAATGGCCACAGCGGCCGGCGCGCTGCGGCCGGCGCACCGCGCTGATCCGATGGCAGGAGCCAGGAGCCAGGTGCTTTTCCTGGTATCCCATGGGGTGCAGGGCCCAAGCACCTAGGCCACCCTCCACTGCACTCCCGGGCCACAGCAGAGAGCTGGCCTGGAAGAGGGGCAACCGGGACAGAATCCGGCGCCCCGACCAGGACTAGAACCCGGTGTGCCGGCGCCGCTAGGCGGAGGATTAGCCTAGTGAGCCGCGGCACTGGCCTGTTACTTGGATTTTTTAAAAAACATATTTGTGTGAAAGGCAGTGGGACCCAGAGATTGTCCATCTGCTGGGTTCATTCCCTGAATGCTCGCAGCAGCCAAGGGCTGGGTCAGGCTGAAGCCAGGAGCCTGGAACTGCATTTGGGTCTAGCACTTGTGTGCCAGGGGTCCAGGTACTTGAGACTTCTCTGACCACCTCTTTGGGTGCACATGAGCAAGAAGGTGGAATCTGAATTGGAGCCAGGACTCAAACCCATGCACTCTGACATGGGGTGTATGCATCCCCAAGTGGCATCTTTACCAATTCATGAAAACACCTGTTCCCTATATTGACTCTTTGCTTAGGTAATTTTACTGAACATTAATGGAATCCTAATATTTCATCATTGTCTAACTCTCTGATCATCATTTCTCTACATAGCAGACTTTCTGTCATTTTTATTTTCTTGGTGAATGTTTCCTACAACCTCCTAGTTGTTCCAATTTGGATTCAAGATCCTCTTCTCTTTGTGATGTTGTCACTCTGGGGATCTCTGTTGCCCATCATTCTAGGAATTTGTACTCTTGTTTCCTGCATGGTGCCCCTTTATACTGCATTTCATGTTTTCCTCTTTCTTGGTTTTCACCCTTGTTTTGGTTGAACACATCTTCTGTTAGCTTCTGAGAAATGATGTATAGAAGTTTTTTGATGCTTGGCATGTCTAAATATGCTTTGATCTTACTGTACTTTGACATATTATTGAAAACTTCTATAGAATTTTAGTTTGGAAATAACTTTTTCTCGAGTTTTAAAGGCATTGCTTCATTGTCTTTTAGCTCAAGAGGTTTTGCCAGTCAGGCTGAAGCTTCTTATTAATGATCTTTTAAGATTCTTTTTTCTCTCTCTGTGAGTCTGCCTTCAAATAAATACATGAATCTTAAAAAATTAATATGAATATATTTATAAAAATTCATGAAAAAATAGAATGAAAAGATAGTTATTTTCGTGCAAAAAAGTTTGAATTTTGTGCCGGATAGATTTATTTTTTAGAAACCTTTTGTTTAATGAGTACAAATTTCCTAAGTACAGCTTTAGGAATATAGTGATTCTTCCCACCATACCGACCCTCCCATCCCCACTCCCACTACATTTCCTCCTCCCTCTCCCATTCCCTGTCCCATTCTCTATTCAGATTCATTTTAAATTAACTTTATACACTGAATACCAACTCTCTACCTATAAAAGATTTCAAAAATTTGCATACATGCACACAAAATATAAAAAATCTGTTTGAAAACAAATTTTACAGTTAATTCTCCTAGTAACTCATTGAGGACAGAGGTCCTGCATGGGGAGTAAGTGCACAGTGACTCCTGTTGTTAATTTAACAATTAACACTCTTATGTATGACATCAGTGATCACACTTGGCCTTTAACATAAGCCTCCAAAATATGGAAGCCTTTTGAGTCCACAGTCTGTGTCAATATATGAACAAAGCCATAAGCAAAGTGGAAATTCTCTCCTCCCTTCACAGAAAAGTACATCCTATGTTGGTAGCCATTCTTCCCACTGGTGTCTCATTCACAGAGGTCCTTCATGGAGGACATTCTTTTGGTCACAGTGACTTGGCTTTCCATGCCTGAAATGATCTCGTGGACTTTTCAGCCAGACCAGAATGCCTTAAGGGCTGATTATAAGGTCAGAGTGCTATTTAGAGTGATTGTCATTCTATGAGTCGGCTGTTTGTACTGCTTCTCATGTTGAAACAATCTCTTTTTTTTCTTTCAATTCTATCTATTGTATTACCAGACACTTGATCTTATGTATATAATCTCTTTACTCAGTCCTATCTATATGATCAATTTTACACTTAATATCATCACTTTAACACTTAAAATGGCATTATTACCATAAAGCTTAATGGAATCCGGAGTCCCATGGGAAATTTTTAGCTTACCCTTTGAGGTAATTCCATAGGAATGTATGCAAAACGATACAGCTTTACAATTACAAACTTCCTCCTTCCTCTCTTATTCCCACTCTTATTTTTTACTGGGATATATTTTCAATTGACTTTATACCAATATGATTAATACTATGTTTTTTTAAACTTTTATTGAATAAATATAAATTTCCAAAGTACAACTTTTGGATTATAGCAGCTTTTACCTCATAACTACCCTCTCACCTGCAAACATCTGATCTTCCACTCCCTCTCCCATCCCATTCACATTAAGATTCATTTCCAATTATCTTTATATACAGAAGATCAAGTTAGTATATACTAAGTAAAGATTTCAACAGTTTGCACCCACACAGAAACACAAAGTATAAAGTACTGTTTGAGTACTAGTTTTACCGTTAATTCACACAGTACAACACATTAAGGACAGAGATCCTACATGGGGAGTAAGTGCACAGTGATTCCTGTTGTTAATCTAACAATTGACACTCTTATTGATGACGTCAGTAATCACCCTAGGCTCTTGTCATGAGCTGCCAAGGCTATTGTCATGAACTCAAGGCCTCTTGAGTTCGCCAACTCCAATCTTATTTAGACAAGTCCGTAGTCAAAGTGGAAGTTCTCTCCTCCCTTCAGAGAAAGGGACCTCCTTCTTTGATGGCCTATACTTTCCGCTGGGATCTCACTCCCAGAGATCTTTCATTTAGGTCTTTTTTTTTTTTTTTTTTTTTTTTTTGTTGTTGTTCATAGTGTCTTGGATTTCCATGCCTGAAATAGTCTCATGGGCTTTTTAGCCGGATCCGAATAACTTAAGGGCCGATTCTGAAGTCAGAGTGCTGTTTAGGACATCTGCCATTCTATGAGTCTGCTGCTGTGTATCCCGCTTCCCATGTTGGATTGTTTTATCCTTTTTGTTTTTTTTTTGTTGTTGTTGTTGTTTTTGTTTTAAACTTTATTTAATGAATATAAATTTCCAAAGTACAGCTTATGGATTACAATGGCTTCCCCCCATAACGTCCCTCCCACGCGCAACCCTCCCCTTTCCCACTCCTTCTCCCCTTCCATTCACATCATGATTCATTTTTGATTTTCTTTATATACAGAAGATCAGTTTAGCATACATTAAGTAAAGATTTCAACAGTTTGCTCCCACACAGAAACATAAAGTGAAATATACTGTTTGAGTACTAGTTATAGCATTAAATCTCAGTGTACAGCACACTAAGGACAAAGATCCTACATGAGGAGTAAGTGCACAGTGACTCCTGTTGTTGACTTAACAAATTGACACTCTTGTTTATGGCATCAGTAATCACCCTAGGCTCTTGTCATGAGCTGCCAAGGCTATGGAAGCCCCCTGAGTTCACTGACTCTGATCATATTTAGACAAGGCCATGGTCAAAGTGGAAGTTCTCTCTGTTTTCTCCTTTTTAATTCTATCAGTTAGTATTAGCAGATACTAGTCTTGTTTATGTGATCCCTTTGACTCTTTTTTTGACAGGCAGAGTGGACAGTGAGAGAGAGAGACAGAGAGAAAGGTCTTCCTTTTGCCGTTGGTTCACCCTCCAATGGCCGCCGTGCTGACATGCTGCGGCCAGCGCATTGCGCTGATCCGATGGCAGGAGCCAGGTGCTTCTCCTGGTCTCCCATGGCGTGCAGGGCCCAAGTACTTGGGCTGTCCTCTACTGCACTCCCTGGCCATAGCAGAGAGCTGGCCTGGAAGAGGGGCAACTGGGACAGAATCCGGCGCCCCGACCGGGACTAGAACCCGGTGTGCCGGTGCTGCAAGGTGGAGGATTAGCCTATTGAGCCACGGCGCCAGCCGATCCCTTTGACTATTAATCCTATCATTATGATCAATTATGAACTGACACTGTTCACTTTGAGTGAGATGGCATTGGTACATGCCACCTTGATGGATTGAATTGGAATCCCCTGGCACATTTCTAACTCTACCATTAGGTGTAAGTCTGAATGAGCATGTGCCGAACTGTATATCTCCTCCCTCTCTTATTGCCACTCTTATATTTAATGGTGATCACTTTTCAGTTAAATTGAAACACCTAAGAATAAGTGTGTGTTAATTAAAGAGTTTAACCAATGGTATTAGGTAGAAAAATAAAATACTATAAAGAATAAAATAGTAAGTTGTTCCTAGACAGCCAGGACAAGGGCTGAACAAGTCATTGTTTCTCATAGTGTCCATTTCACTTGAATAGGTTTCCTTTTTGGTGCTCGGTTAGTTGTCACCGATCAGGGAAAAAATATGATATTTGAGCTTTTAGGACTGGCTTATTTCACTCAGCATGATGTTTT